CTGGTTATCCCTGCACTGAAGCACCCTCATGCCTCAGCCAGCCCCTCCGCAGCATGGAGCGGAGAGCAGGCTTGGCTGGCAGGCTGATTTTATTCATTTTTTGTTTTCTTTTTTTCCTTTTCCTTTTACAAACCTGTAAACCTCTCTGCAAAGTTAGAGTAGCAGAAGGCAAAATGACTCCAGCATTGCCACTCTGTAATCTTTCAGAAATTGGCAAATTTTCAAAATACCAAAATTAAAAATGAAAAGAAAAGAATGAAAAAATCAGGAGGGAGGACACCTGAACATTCATTTTGTTACACTCTGTAGGAAAAAAATCATTATTTTTGGAAAAGTAGTTCACAAAAAGGTTTGGCGGGAAAAAAACTCCTAAACACTGTAAAACAGAAACAACTTCAGAATGGTTTATCATTTTTCAGCCAGGTCTAGGACATGTAATCAGAACAGTCAGGAGGGTATTTTTCAAAAAAATTATATTTCAAACAGACCAGGGATTGATGTCAGGAATACCAGAGAAGTGGCTGAAGTAATCACAATAGGCAATGATGAGAAACCTAACAAGAATTGTAAGCAGTGTGAACAGAGAAAGAGTACATTTTTTGTGGAGGAAAAAAAATGCACTATTTAGATACAGCCTGGATACATGCAGCTGGAAAGGGTGGAGTCAACAAAGGCACCCATGAGGAGCCTGATTGGTGAGTCTGAGAGTGCTGTCAGCTATGACAGATAACAGTGAGAGAAAGGAGGGCTGGGAAAGGTAGCAGAGTCTTTTAGGCTACAGACGGAAGTGCAGCTCCCTACTGTAACTGAGAGTGCTTTACAGAAAGTGTTCTGAGTTACAATGACCGCCCCAACCAAACAGAAGTTCACCATTGGTTCCAGGGGGATTGCAAATCTAGCAGCTGGCTGTGAGCCTGCAGCCAGTTTTCCCAAACCACAGGCGCTTCTCTCTCCCAGCCTGTCCCTGTCTTCAGAATGGAAGGGGGGGAAGGGAGCAGAGGGAGCTCCTTCTAGGGGTTCCCCAGAGGCATTGGAGGGTGGTGGGGTGCAGGAATTGGAGCCCCCCCACCTCAATGGGAGCGGGAGGGCTCCAGTATACCCACTATACCCTTCAGCAGGTCAAATTCCCTCCACTCCCTTTCCCCCTTCCCATTCTGAAAACAGTGGCAGGCTGGGAGGCCACACAAACACAAGTTACAGAAGACACTATGTTTTGAAATGTCTTTGTCTGAACCCTCATGCAATGGTACATGCAGTGGTACATGCAATGAGGGTTCAGATTTTCACCTGATCAGCTATTTTTGAAATTGTCTGCAGCCATGCATTTGTGTTCGGTCACAGCTATAGACCACTTTCTATGGCCAGATCGGGCAAAAGTTGACACTTCTGTCTGTGCCCCTAATTCTCTTTTCACTCATGAGGAGTTTCACTTGAGAAACATGTCACTAAGAAGACTTAGGCAAAAGATATAAAGCAACAAAAAGGAGCTGTCAAAAGAAGCTAAAATTGGATGCTTATCTTGCTGGGGTGATCTGACCCCAGCTGAACTCCTGCCCCTTGGGCAGGGGGCTGGACCCGATGATCTCTTGAGGTCCCTTCTAGCCCTAATGTCTATAAAATCTATGAAAAGTGAGCCATACATAAACATCCACTTACGAAAGCAGAAATTAGCAAGGAAGTTCTCTTCCTTTTCCATGTAAATCAGGTATTTATTAAACAAAATAAAGGGCTTAAATAACTTAGATCAATTAGTATCACGAAATCCTGAATTTTGATGGACTTGACTTGTGTACGTTAAAACTGGCAGACAATAGTGCAGTTCCTCCTCACTGAGGCAGTTTTATGAGTATCCCGTTGGTCTCTGGTTGGCTCTCTGTTTGAAACTCTGTGTAGTTTGTTTGGCAGATCTGAACTGTTATCTTGCAACTCTCATGCCCAATTGTAGCTTATATGTTACAGGAAAGTATTGCAAAATTGGACAGGCAGTTATTTGGTGGTACAATAATTTCTACTGCTTAGGACAGACAGGTTCTCATTTGCTTCACTCACAACTACAGATAAAATACTGAAGTCTCTGATTAATACTTAGTTCTGCTTTTTTAACAGATACTTGATATTAGATTTGCAGGGAGAAAAGGAAGAGGGAAACAGCAAAGAGTGAAGAAGTGGCTGAAGACTTTTAGGGCACATCTACTATGAGGCAGCAGCCTGCCTCAGCTAGGATACCTCCTCCATTATATCCTCCCCATCCCTTCCCATACACTTGCTCCAAACCTGGAAATATGTTGATGAAGCCACTCCAGAATGTCCCTGTGTGGTCAAGCTTGAGACCTCCTGAATAATAATGCAGGAAATGTTCTAGGGCTTACTGTGTGCTTGTGTTTTGTCGGCCAAAGAAGCACAGGGCACTTACATAAGTTATATTTTTTGCACAATCTGGCCCCTGAAAGCACTACACATGTTCATGGCTGCAGAGCACTTTTAAAATGGCCAATCAAGAAAAAAATTAACCCCTGATAAATCAGCTATTAGCTGAAGGTTCTCTAGAGCAGAACACCTTAGGGAACTTCCGTTCAGGTTCTAACAAAGGTTAATTTTTCATATGCACCTTTGCAGGGCTGGGCTGGTGCTTGAGCAGACAAGCACCAGCCCAGCCCTGCCACTGGGGCTGTCATAGCAAGGAGAGAGTTTCCTCATTGCTTTTGTGATCTTAATTTTATTGTTGACATAGTAATGGCTTTTTTCTTATCTTCTCTAAATTCATTTACCCTTCTCCCCTCCCTCTCATTCCTTACACATTACCTTCCAGTAGGCATGTTAATTAACCTATATTTGGGAAGCCTGTTTTGGCAATAAAGAATTTAGGGCAGCTGAAACTTATTCTGGTGTCCAAACCAAGGACAGGAGGCAGTTTCCTGGAGCTCCTGATTTATGTCCACAAATGTCATTTGCCTCCCCAGATGTGATAGTAGGCCAGGGGTGGGCAAAATACAGCCTGGGGGCCGGATGCAGCCTGCCAAGCCATTCTGTCCGGTCTGCAGGGCCCCTAAAAAATTTAGAAAATTAATATTTATCTGCCCTGGGCTGCCTGTCATGCAGCCCTCAATGGCTTGACAAAACTCAGTAAGCGGCCCTCTGCCCAAAGTATTTGCCAGCCCCTGTATTAGGGGTATCTAAACTGTTCCCTCCCCACCACAGCCAGGCACTTGCTCAGGGGTGTATGGTGTGTATGTGTGTTTAAGAGGAGCTGAGGTTTTGTCTCTTTTTTTTTTCCTGAAAGACGTTGCTCAGAATGGCAAGTCTTGTTGGCTGGCTGTAGACATACTCATTCACATTCTAATTAGACCGCTCCAGCATCACCTTACTGTCAAGCCCTGCCTCCCCCTGTGTTTCGAAATGGCCACAGCATTGCTTTGACTAAACCTTGTGGAATGAGCTTTAGTTAAAGTGCCCGCACAGCCATTTTGAAGTGTGTGGTTGGGGGGGGACTTAACACATGTGATGGTGAGCCATTTTAATTAGAGTGGGTATCCGAGAACCACTCTAATTAAAATGTGCCTCCTCCTTTCCCCCCCGCACCTCTGAGCACACATATAGACAGCTTTTTGGATTTTGTTCTTGTTTGCTGAGGGTTGTTAATTGGCCTTATGAAAAGTAAAATAATTGATTGTGCTTTAAAATGAACATGCAAACGGCAGAACTGCTTTTGACATGTGACTTGGCAGGTGAACTGAAGAGCTTGCTGAGGTTAACATTTCCCTATTACTAATTCATAAAAATAGGACAGATGAAGTTTGTGACATCTTTCCCCACATGGTAGCTTCCTGTGGCCTGATTGGCCTTCTTTCTCACTCTCTCTCCAAATAAAATGAGGTGGGTGGTTTTCAGAAGCCAGTCCTTTACTTTTTTCTCTCTTGCTTTTTACTTTCCCTGACCTTAACTGAAGAGACACAAGATAGCTTTAATTGTGAATTAGGACCAAGTAATATTAAACTATTCTCATATTATAAAAGCCTACGACTGTCTGTCTGTCTGTCTGTAACACTTTATTTGTGCTCTGATTGGCTGACAAACAACCAATCAGAACACGAAGAAGCATACTGACAGAAGACAGCTGGCCTCCCCTCCTCCCCCCTGCCCTGCTCCCTGGAGGTGGCCACGACAGGGGGGCAAGGCCAGCAGGGTTGGCTTCACCCCCTCCTCCCTGCCCTGCTCCCTGCACTAGCCGACTGCCATTCGTGACAGGCAATTGGCTAGTGTATGAATAAAAGTGTATGAATAAAAACATCAATGAAAGTATGTAGTTTTGTTTTGAAGAGGGACTATTTATATAAACAGGTGACAGAACATGTATATGTATGTACACACATACCCTGCCTTTACTTATACACACACACACTAGTGTAGATGTATGATATAGCTTGAATGTATTTGTATGTATATATGTATGTGTATTCAAATGATATATTCAATATATATACATATATATACAGTTTACATAAAGTAGCCGGTGACAAAGAGTCTAATTTAAAACCGAGTTTTTAAATGTTCAAGACAGGTGCCATTCTTAGATACTGACATCCTCTACCCAGAGAATGTGCTTGCCATCTCTTCCTCCACTGTGCTCTGGAGGGTCTGTCTCTAAGGGTTAGAGTGGGTGCTCAGTATCATTATAAATTTCATTAAATTCTGGGTGCATCTACTGAGATTGCCAAGAAGGTTTCTACAAGAGGAGATAGTTTTTGTGTTGTGAACACCTGTGCTACTGTCAGTTAAACTGAGACCCACCAAACTCAGTTCACTCAGGTAGCTGTTGACTGTTGTTCAAATTTATTTTGAACATGGCCCACATGTGAACTCTGTATTCCTGTAGTACCTTGTCTTGTTCTTGTTCAGAAAGATGCTCTTATTCCCCTTTCCTCTTCGTGTATCCTCTTTCCTCTTCGTGTAATACGGATTGTGTTACTGGATAACTGTATATGTTGTTTTTCTTCTTGCAGCTACCTGCATAAGAACAAATACCTGAAAGTTATTGACGAAGATGCATTTTTGGGCGTGCATAGTGGACCAACCCTGCTGTGAGTAGGAAAAAAAGGAGGAACAGTTTTAAAAAATAATTATGATTAGGCCTCTCTATTGATTAGGCCTCCTACAGATTATCAGTAAAAAATAAGGGAAGGAGTAATGGTTGACTTGCACACTAATATCAGTGAAAAAGGTTTTGCTGTGGAGCTTTGTAACCTAAGATAAATGTGTGCTCAAGAGTCTTGGGATCAGGGTTGATTCTCAGTAATGCCAGCTCTCATAAAAAAATCACAAGGCAGATTGAAGTCCCCTAGGGAGTGGGGCAGTGGCTGGGGTGAATGGGGCCTCAGGGCGGGGGCAAGTCATGCAACAGAGCTGTGTGTGTGTGTGTGTGTGTGTGTGTGTGTGTGTGTCTGTGTGTCTGTGTATGTGTCTGTGTCTGTGTGTCTGCCCCTCATTCCCAAGCCACAGCCCCCCCAGCCCTGCTGCTGCCCCTCACTCCTGACTCACAGTGCCCCACATCCTGCCAGGGTGTGTGCCCTCTCCCCCTCCCAACCCCAGGCTCCAACCCACACACACACACCTACAGCCCCC